CCTCAGAAGCAGGCAACTCGATGGTGTATATGGCTGCCGGTTTAACGATGGCTTCGGTTACGGTGTTAGTGGCTAAAGGAGTATCTTTGCTAAGTCCACCGTATTTAACCGGAACTTGTTCAGGAGCTATGTATCTGTTTTCAACCAACATAAGCCTTAGTTAAGGAAGTTGAAAAATATATTTGAATTATGAAATAGTAATAGTTATTAGTGATTTAATTATTACTTGAAAATTGTATCGGCAGATTTGGATGGACCAGCAAGGACCATCTTGCTCCTAGTCCTTGGTGATGTGATGATTGATCCGAATGTTTTGTAATAAGGAATGTACCACCATGGGACATTGATGAACAGCTACAACAAGAAAAGAAAAAAAAACCATTAATAAAATTAAAAAAAGTAAATCGAAGACAGAATTCACCAGCAATTTGGACGTTACTAATTGGATTGTAATCTTTGTTTGTAATTCTAACTACGTTTTGAAGAATAAATATTGTATTGTACCATAAACCATTAAACAAGTTATGCGTGTGTCCAAGTTCGGGCCTAGACCCTAAGCGTGTTTATGCGTGTGAGTTGTAGACAATAAAATGATAAAACGTGCGACTAGAACGTACCTCTCTAGTGGCGAATTCGGGATAGTTGTCCTCGAATTGCTTGACCGCGCGTCTAATGAATTGCCACAAGGCTCTCTTTCCGAGTCCCGGAGCGTTCCTGAAATCGCTAACGAACACGAACGAAGATTTCGCATCAGGGCTGCTGAAATCAAGAGCTCTCACACACTTTTCTTGTAGCTGAATCCTCCAATTAAGGAACTTGTTAAGCTTCTCTTTGTCGGAGAATAGCTCTTTGTTCTGAAACTCGCCGTATGAGCTGTAGATCACCACGTGACCTTCCTTGTCGACACCGTGAGCGAACACCATCTTCTCGAACTCGCTCGCTTCTTCTCCGGTCTCGGCTTCGACGAGTTCGTCGATTTTGTTTTCCTTGCGCCACTGTACTGTGTTTTTGAGCATCGTCAAGGCTTCTTTCACCTTGAAGTCTCGTGCACGGAGGAATTTCAAGAGGATCACGTCGGATCTCTCGTCTTGGAGCAGAGGAACTCCGAAGATCGAGACTTCTTCTGGCTCCACTGGCTCAGCCTCGGCGACGACGGTGGTCTCCGGCGTGACGGCGGATTCCGGTGGAGAGACTGAAACGATCGACTCTTCGATTGCTTCCACGGTCTTGGTTCCATCTTCTTCAGCAGTGGAGGCTTTCTCGGTGATCGGCACCGCTTCTTTCTCCTCTGATTTAGTCTCTTCCGGAGCCACCACCGTGGATGATGATTTCTCCTCCGTCTTGGCTTCTTCCGGTGCTAGAACCGCCGGTTTCTCTTCCTCCTTCTTCTCCTCTGTTTTCTCCTCTGCTTTAGGTTCCTCTGTTTTCTTTTCCTCTGTTTTTTCTTCTTCTGCTTTAGTTTCCTCTGCCGCAGATTTCTTCTCCTCGGCTTTCTCCTCCTTCACCGGAGCCGGCGGAGCAGTGAATTCACGTTTGTTCAAAGCTTCCCTCACGAGATCTTTAAACTCATCAAGCGCCTTCTTCTGAATCTCCTCAGGTGATAAAACAATCACCTTCTCAGCTACAACTTTCTCTTCCTCTTCCTTCACCGGAACAGATTTCTCCTCCGCATCCGTCTCTGTTGCCGGAGTCACCTTCTGTTCCTCCTCCTTCTCCGGCACCGCTTTCTCTTCCTTAGAAGCAACCGAATCAGAAGCAGTCACTTCCTTCTCCGGCACCGGAGCAGGAACAGTCACCTCCTTATCCGTGGCGGCGACAACAACAACATCAGCTGATTTCTGTGCCTCTTCTTGAGCCATCTCTGATATTTTTCAAGAAAGAAT